ATTATCAAGTAAGAAAAAAATATTCTCATGAATTGAGTGTTTCTTGTATATTTCCTTTGGTAGCCCCCCCCCCCCCCGTGTGTGTGCTGGCAAGTAAGATTCTATGTTTTGGTTTGAAAGAAACAGAGTAGATCAGCTCGCGTGAATATAGAAAAAAGCATTTTTTTTTTTTTTTAATTTTCATGTGAGCTGGATGTACAAAGATGCATAGAATCACAGCTTTACAAGCCCCATGAATCCTTAAGCTGGTGCTGACTTTTGTGAAACTTCTCAAATGTATGGGACAATTCATCATGCAGCATAATTTTTGTAATTTAATGAAAAACGAGAAGTGTGTCAGAATTTGGAAAAACCATGATATGAGATTTTTGTTGTGCTTGCTACATAAATTTGCATTCTGTGATTCTCTGGGTCACTACTATTGGTAGATTTATAATTTCCAAGTTGTAATCAATAACAGAAAATGAGCTTCATTTCTTATTTATATTAAAGCATTTAATTATAAGATCTTAAAAACTGATGCCATACCCTTATACAAAGTAGCATTTACTTCAATTCATATCACTCCTAACATGTTAGAGACTGGTGTGAGTTGTTTTTTATGATATGCTTGTAGCAGAAGCTACAGTTGTGGTTGAAACCTTTTTACAATTCAAATTTGATATGCTGCTTTGCACTCATTGATCTTAACAGCCAGCAATTTAGCATATTTATGGTTGATTGATATTGCACTTCTGTATGAACAGTCGAAAGCACGTATATGTTAATGTGTAAATTTTCATTTTCATTTTCATCAGCACCTAGGGCTTAGAAATATTTTGACAGGTACAGTTTAACTTGTATCAAACAAATTTTAGTTTTGCTCTTTAATATGTATTTAGTGTAAAATATTGTATAAGAATTAGTATGAAACTTAAAAGTAGAATACTTCTATTCTGTTGAACTTCCATTTTTTTTAAATCAAAAATTTAAATAGTTGTACACACAAAGTCAAGTTTCTTACGATTTTAGACAGTGTCACACAAAATTGTTGCAAGTGCTTGCAATTGTAATACAAAACAATGAATGAATGGATATTTTAAATACATCTGTGGCAAATTTCCAGCATTATCAACTGCCAAACTAAAGGAGGGTGTCTTTAATGGCTCTGACATTAGAAAACTTTTTGAAGATGGTAATTCTGAGAAGCAAATAGATGTTGTGGATAAAAAAGCCTGGAGGAACCTTTAAAGACATAGTAACAAAGTTTCACGGCAATAAGAAAGATACAGACAATTCCAGGTAGTAAGAAAGATCCAGTCAGTTGCTGAAAACATGCAGTTGGAAAACAAAAATTTAGGCTGTTCCATGACCTTGCATTCACTAGCAGTGAAAATATTTTCATCATTAGAAGCTGGATTACAAAATAGTCTTTTAATGATTACAAATGTTAATGTTATTTTAGTAGTAAAGGAACTACTAACAGACAGTTATGACGAATGTTTCTAGGAAATTAGAACTGCATTTTATTTTCATGTTTAGGGTAATTTTTTCCCCAATGCTCAGTGGCATATCAAGTTCAATTTATTAGGTCATTTAAAAAGTGTCCGTGCTTTTTTGCCACTATATGGTATTGATATCCAGCAGCACTCACCCGGTTGTCTCAAATGAACATGTGCTTAAAAGGTGACATTCAGCTTCCGTTGCTCTCTAATTTGTTGCTCGTGTCAAAAGTTATGTTGATTTGAAAATGAGTGAAATATCTGAAGAAATATGGTATGTAATGCTTTTTTAGTATAAAAAAGGTAAAAACGCTTCAAAAGCATGCCGAAAAATTTGTGAAGTATACGGTGAGAATGCTCTGAGTGAACGAAGGACCCAGCAGTGGTTTGCTTGATTCCATTCCTGAAATTTCGATGTCGAGATTAGAAGGGACTTGTCTATTATGAGCTGTTGCAACCTGGCAAAACCATCAATTCAACCAGTCAAGTGTACACAAGTTGACCGTTTGAATGAAGGAGTCCAGAAAGAACGGCCAGACTTGGCCAACAGGAAGGGATTTGTGTTCCATCATGACAATGTGCGGCTACACGCATTTTTGATGACTCGGAACAAATTGACGGAACTTGGTTGGAAAGTTTTGATGCACCCACCATATAGCCCGGAATTTGCACCATCTGACTACCATTTGTTTTAGTCTCTGCAAAATTCTTTTGATGGTAAAAAAGTTCTCTGACTTGAAGTGCCACTGAAAATCACTTGGCCAAGTTTTTCGATGATAAACCACAGAAGTTCTACACTAATGGAATTATGAAGCTACCCGAAAAATGGCCAAAAGTCATATATAATAAAGGTCAATATGTAGTTGATTAAAATTGATTTTCAATAAAGAAAAGTTTTGTTCAAAAAATGTACCAAAAAAGCACGAAGACTTTTTTGTATGATCTAATATTATCCATGTGTCTCTAATGCTGGAGCGTGTCTGATCATTATTCTAATAAATTATTGACATATTGCATAAGGCCACTGTTTAAAGAAAATAAAACATACAGTTGTATAATGAGTAGTTACATTTATGAAAAAATATAGAAATTCTTTTCAAATAATAAGCACAAAATACAAACATTGGCTTTGTTGAATTATTTCTACTATTTCAAAATACTGATGCAAAATAAAAAATTTTAAAAATATGCATTTATCTACATGCTGGATGCTCAACTCTAAAGATTATATAATGTAGCAAATTATATATAGTACATAATTGATGTCGTAGAAAAGCATGAAAAGAACACAATTATAGACTTAGTTTAAACAAAATGTTGGTTATGGAGAAGATAGTACTGCAAGACTATATTATCATTTATAGTGTATTTCACAGCAGTTCAAGCAATATTCTGATTGTCTGTACACTCATGTGTGGTCTGTGCATAACTTTTGGTAATTGTGTAAGTGCATTGTTGTCTTCCATCTTGGAATACAACATTTCTATGGTGTCCACTGCAGTATCATCATCACCTTCTTATTTTCTTGGAGAAACCCAGCTGTAGTCTTCTTTATCTGTGCTGTCATAATCGGAAAAGTCGTTCTTTTCTAATAATTCTAATATTTCAGCAGCAATAATTTATTTTTGTTTACTTTCCTTTTCTTGGACTGTGAAGGTTCTGCCAGACTTGTACAACCTGCCATTTTTAAAAATGCATATAAAAAGTGCAAACACAAAATTTTGAAACTATGCACGTAAAAAAACAATACTTCACTAACATGTCTAAACAACCTTTTATATGAAATTTCAGTGTCACACTAAAAAATATAGCATATCACTCATGGTTAGTTGACCAGTGTCTCAGAGCAACATCAGCATATGAAGTGGTGCCATTTTGATCTATCTGTCATCATGTCAGTAACGGTGAAGATGTTAAAGGTTCACTTCCTAAGTTAACATTTTATAACAATTTGACTGTTTTCCTGAAAATCTGGATGCTATTAATGAAGAAATGGGTGAGAGATTTTATCAAGATGTTAAAGAGATGGAATGAGGTTTCAGAGAAAATTAATTACTTCAGTGATGGTGGACTATTGCTGGATATTAATTGAGATGAACCCCATCAAGAATGTAGAAGGAAAAGCATGAAATAGAGCATGAGTAGTCCATGGAAACTTCAGCATATGTAATAAAATTGTGTATTTTACATACATTGTCTTACTGTCAGCTAAAAAAGAATAAATTGTAAGGAGAATACATTTAAAGTTTATTTTAAAATCTCACACATTTTCACAGTTTTTCAACTTTTGCAGGTTTCAATTGTTGGAATTTCTGAAAAACCCTCATGTGATGAGATAAAATGAGGGTAATTTTCAGATTCAATGCTAAACAATACATTGGAATCAATTAACAAAAGTTAAAACACGTGATACAGCCCAAATTTTGGAGGCTTATGTTTTCAGTACATGTTTTATAGCAACTTACTAATGAATTGAATAAAAACAAATTATTTAATGTATCTGACTTGTTGAAATTGTAAGATGCAGAAAAATTTGAATGTTGTCTCAATCAAAAATGTTTAGTTCATGGAATGTCCACCTAGCTAAGAAATGCACGAAATGAACCTGTAAATAATGTTTGAGAGTTTAAGAGTTTGTTTAATAGCAAATGTACATATAATATGTAAATTCAGTTTTTTAAAATTAGGTTTCATGAAATAGCAGAAGTACTTGCATCATACAGAGGGAAATAACCTTTAATATTTCTCTGTGTAAAACATGACAGTGGTTATGTAATGATAAGAAAATTATTTTCAGTTAATGGCATCAGATTTCTAGTTCATAAGCACCATTTTGTGTATGCAGCGATTTCTGTACCAGAATAGGATGCTGAATCAAATGGCACTTTTTGAAGAGAGGAATGTTAATAATAAACATGTTTTAATTCTCTCCCTTCCCAACTAGATAACCAGACCGAAGCTTCAGACCTCAAACTACAGCATAAAGGTATTTATCGTATAGAAAAATAAAATTCCACAAAATGTGCGGGGCTTCGCAAATAACTTGTTCTCACAGTGGCACCATTTAGAATCATTTTAGATCTTTAGTTTTCTAATTATAACAATAATTACTCAATAAACTAATTAAAAAAAGTAAATGGACTTCTTAATAATCTATATTAGCATATTTAATGATACAATTATTATAGATAGCGTAAATTAATCTGGAAACTTGCTTGCAAATAACAAAACTATGTGTCACTTGATCAGTAAGCATTATTTAGTGTATGTGAAATTTATACATAATATTTATTTGGGAGGAGGTAATTTTTTTGATGCGTGTTTTCTTCAAAACTATCCTTTTTTTTTTTTTTTTTTTTCTGCTGCGTACAATATTGTTAAAGGCAGAAGCAGTTTTTGTGTTAGTGGTAGTTTTAGTCTAATTTAATTTTCTTTGTTCCTAAAAAGATAGTTCCTCTTACATTTAAAAAGTTTGCTTAATTATTATAGTGTATGTATTTATTTTTTTAAAAATTCTAGTGTGCTGTCCTGAAAATCATTATGGACCAGACTGTAAACCATGTAGTGGTGGCTTGATTAATTCATGTAGTGGGCATGGTCATTGTAAGGTCAGTGTTTTATCTAAATTTGTATTTTAGATGATGATAATATCCCTATATAAGCTAATAATCAAATTAATTTTCTTAGGACAGTGGCTTCCATTTTAAACATTAGAGGATGAAAAGTGAACTCCAACCAACAAATTAAGTTCATAGTTTTTTTTTCCTTCGAACGATCTCATTCAGGTCATTAGTGACACAAACATGCATTTAAGTCAGCTGAAAAACTGCTGAAAACCCTTTGCAAGATAACAAATTTTGCATGGGAGTAGGTTTCACCCAGATGATGAAAACATCAGTATGATAATTCAGTAGTAAACAGAGGCTGCAGCATGACATGTTTTGCTTTTGCCAAATCCATTTAACTCTTAACAAAAGTATTAGCCTTTTTTTAAGTAAAAGAAGTAAAGTAGAGGTTTTTTTTAAATAAAACTTTTTTTAGTAAAATGCAGTCTTCTTTTTTTTTTTAAATGTGTATTATTTTATTTGTTATATTTTTATGTGGTACTTGCTAAAACAGTTTTCTTTATGTAGAAGGCTCATATAATATTTAAGTAAGTACTTTGTTATGTGCTTTTCTTTTGTGCTAAATAAACTTAACATCTTAACGTATTTTGATTTTCCAGTATGATTATTTTTATGTGGCATGTATTCCCATATCTCTGTTTTCAACAGTCATATAAAAAAAGCTGGTCTAGCCATTTGACATTATATATTTCTGAAAAAGTGTAAATAGTGTTAGCATTAATATTTTATTACTACAGTCAAAAGTCGTTAATTCGGACACCTATAATCCGAAATGATCTATAATCCTGACCTCAAAGCTACAAACTTTCTGTGCATGTGTCACGTTGACGCATAGACGCTGATGCAAGACCTATACGGCTGCGAATATGCGTGTGCACATGTGCATAATACGTTTACACATGTGCATTTAATGTATAACGAATGGTATAAGCTAAGCTAAAATGATCTAATTCAGTTAATGTTGCAGATTGCGTTGTTCCTTAATCTTCGAATTTGATCCGGCTTATTGTTTTTTGCAGACTGTTAGAGCAATTTTATAAAAGTAAGCTTGAACTTTCGATTATGTCAAATAGAATTTCCGATATATATTTACTAATATGTAAAGGATCTACAAAGCGAAAATATGTTTCGAAGTCCATTAAACAAAAAGTGGAATTGCTGCAAAAAATGGATAAAGGCATATCCTTTGTTTCTCTAACCATTCCGAAATCTGTTTATCAATTTCACGCTGCTCTGTGGTGTGTGTGTGGGGGGGGGGGCGAACGCTGCGGCGCACAATGAATTGGAAGTTGATCTGTTAGCACTATCCTTATCTTCAGGGCAGATGTTTTTATTTTATTTGGCTTATAATTGCTTACTAATGTAAATGTTGTATTTCATCTCGATATGCTTCGTATTTGATATGATTTAAATTAAATGCCTCGTCATTATAATTCGCTTCCGATAGCGAAGAAAGTGACAGAAGTTATTGAAAACGAAAAAATTTTGATTGACAAATTAGTCAGTATTCTCGACACAGCAATTATAGGACTTGAACAGCGGAACTTTGTAACTGAAGAAGAAATTATGTCTGTTTATAGAATTAAAGAGAAAGTATTATCACATAAAACGAACTAACTTAAACAACTTACATTGAAAGAAATGTTTAATAAAGTAAACAAATAAATATTAAGCTTTTTTTTGTAAATTTTGATACCCTTTAGATCATAATTGTTCTTTATTTCATAAATTATGGTTTCATATTTTTAATTTCATAATTTCTGCATGCCATCTTACCAGATTTAAACTAATGATCTATAATCCGGAAAAATCGATAATCCGGAATCGCCGAAGTCCCAATGAGTCCGGATTAACGACTTTTGACTGTATTTGCTAATATGATTTTTAAGTTTTGCATTAAAAAGTAGATAAATTTTCCTGCTTTGAAGTTATAACGAATGGTCATTCACTGCAAAATATAGTCATCTTCAGTGTACAGAAGTTGGTTATAAAAAGATATACATATGTGTCCAGTGGCTGAACATATTACTTGTATGCAGACTTATGTATCCAATCATGAAAGCTTTAACACCTTTCTAAAGGAACTAGTGAAAAGTTCGAGATTTTTTTTTTTAATTCAAATTTGTGCTCATCATAAATAAAAAGGCCTTCCTCTCTTATCATTTCTTTGGCAGATAACTCTGATCAAATAGGAAATAGAGTGAAATCAAACTGAGCCTGCAATTTATAATGTTTTGTTCCATGTTAAATGATACTGTATAGAAATGTTTGTTTGCTATCCAATGTAATCTAACTAGTTGTTAGATATGCCTGTCTGAACAGTGCTGTTGACAGTTCAGTAGGGTTTAAGCTGCAACACCTCATGCAGATCCAGATCCATATAAATTACTTAACTGTTCAGTCTAAATGAAACTGAACAGTTAATAAGCAAATTATTGACAAGATTATTTTCAACATAAACAGAGATTAACATTATTACATGCATGCTGAATTTTATTCATCTATGTCATAGTTTTACATTTTTTGTTTGCAAGATGAATTATTGGCACATACATCTATAATATTCTATAGAATACGAAATGCTGTAGATGTTATATATATTATCGTCACTGTACGTTAGAAATGAAAAGTTTTTTAACCCGTCAACTGTCACGTCTACATGCCAGCAACAAACACACTCACTTCCCAGCCGACACGCAGGCGTGCCAGAGCGTTTTCCCGTTCAGCCCCGACTGTCACGTATTTGTGCCAGTGTCCTGGAACGTTTTAAAAACTATAATTTCTGCCACAAGATGGCACTGTATGTCCATATGGTTTCAGATACATGTACATTAGACCTACTCAAAGTGAGAGAAGCTTGACTCACATACACGTGTTTTTGATTATATAAACAAAAGGAGAAATGAATTTTTCCGAATTGTGTGATTTATGACGTCTCTTTAAATTCGCATGTGGTAGTTGTTTATTGTAAGTAGAGAAGTTTTATTTTTGCTAAAGCATTGGGTATTTCGGTTTCCAGTTCAGTTTTTAGAAAATAATTAGATCTTGTTAGACATGAATTCTTTCTGTGTTTACTGTTGCAATGTCGAAGCGTAGAAAATGTTTAACAGAGCATGAAATAGCAGAAATGATGCAAAATATTTCAGATATTGATTCTGAAATTCTGATATTCTGATATTGATTCTGAAGATTAACTGAAAGACATTTTCCAAAACTTTGTTCAGAAGAGACTGATAAGAAAATGAGACGACGATACTTCGTTTGTTCACATTCCTGGAAAAATCCTCCAAAATGGCAAATGAGTTATTACAAGTGCAATGGTTGTAACGTAGGACTGTGTGTAGATCCCTGTTTCCAAATTTTTCATACGAAAAGAGAATTTTAAGTAATATATTTGGTTTTCAGATGTATAATGTTAAGAGTCATAAAATGGTGAGTAATGAAAATAAAATCTGTAAAATAGGCATTTAAACAAGAAATAAGGTAATTAAAGTATATATAAAAATATCTAAAAAGCATAAGCCATTTAAATACTCTATAGGGCATTATTAAACAATGTGTTGATACTTCAAAAATTTCATGGATTTAGGCTTAATAGCAAAAAAGCCCCTGGCCCTGGACAGACGCTCGCGTAAGACACTGCCGGCCTCCGCAATAAGCGTGCTTTTTCGCTACCCAGCGTGAAGGGGTTAACAAACTAAATGCTTGAAAGTATATAGTATATATCAAGCAATTCAATTTTTGCCTTTGAATGGCATGACTTTTCTCTACTTCGTATGAGCAATGAAATCATAGCTAGACACACTTTTGATTTGAATTACTGTGTCATTTTTGGGTTCCAGTAATGTAATAAATGCAAAGCAGTTCATTGCAGCATGTTGTGGGTACTAAATGTGTAAATAAATGCTTGGTAAGGAAATTTCAACTACAGCATTAAAAACTGCATAACAATTTAAAATGTATGACAACAACCATTGAAAGCATTTATTTTTAATTCATGTGCATTTTTCTCTGAATGAGATACCAAAATATATTAAATACAATATTTCTATTGTAAAGTTTTATCAACTTTATTTTATTATTTTTATTTATTTATTTATTTTTTTTTTGTTTAAACTAATATACTCATTCTAAATTCATAATGCTTCACAGTAACTGACAACTTCTGACATTGTATGCATTTTTATAATCTAGGGTGCTGGAACTAGAAAAGGTTCAGGACAGTGTCGTTGCGACATTGGATATACTGGAGAATTTTGCGATCAGTGCAAAGTTGGATATTATAATGATACTTCTAGTGGTACTTCTTGGCAGTGTTCAAAGTGTGATAAATCATGTAAAGGCCATTGTCGGAAAGCTGGACCAAAAGGATGTGAAGTTTGCGTTGATGGCTACCAGTATTCTGTTGATCTTGGTTGTATTGGTATGAAAATTTTGGATTGTCTGCATGCAGTATAAGTGCACTGGTATGCATACAAAATTTGTAAAAGTTTATAAAACTGGGCAAATTAAATATGTTTGAGTTCATTTAATTTTTAACTTAATAAATTAAGGAGAGTTAAAAATCTTATTTTTATTAATTTTCGTAATTTTAGTAAGGCCTAATACTTAAAAATCTGACTTTAATATTTGATTTGGGATCAGATTGTTCTGACAGGATATATATAAAGATTTCATATTTTATGTTTACATAAAATATGAAACATATTTTTAAATATGTTTTACAATGGGGAAATTTTCTTCATATTTCTGATAAGCTGCATGTTGCGTAAGTGGTTTATTAATGGTAAACTTTATTGTAATTCATTTAACTCAAATTTAAGAGTTTATGGTTTCATAATGTACTCGTAGTTATCCCCTCTTACTTTTAATATTATTGCTTGAGAGTTTAAAAGGGACAATTAGGCTCTGTTTACTATTATTTAGAGAAGGTTGCAGGGGTAACTTAGCAGATTAAAAATAAGTTTCTAGGATTAACATGATAATTGGCTATGCTTATAAATATTTGTTCATAACAGTTACTGGTTTCATCATTATTATTTTTACTTCCATGTTATATGTTACTGCCATAAATCAGGAGTTTCAAAATTGCATCTTTAAAAGCTGCAGAAAAAAGCATGCATATGTAAATATAGTATTTAGTTGCTATATATCAACAGATTTTGAATGTGATCATGCATTAATGACATCATCTTTGCGTGAATAAGCTGAGTATTTTGTATCTGAGTGATTTAAATATTTTGTTAATTATTAATTGCATTTATATATATGTATGACAAAATTAGAAATGCCTATAGAGACTTAGCTGTAAACACATAAGAATCTTGCTTGTGGTCTTGCATTGGCTGACCAGTGAAAACTGCCAAGTTACATAACAAATGTTAAATAATGAAATAGAATAAATATAAGAAAAGTCAGAAGTCGAAAGAAAAAGTCAAAAGAATTTTGTTTCACTGAAGGATTAACTTAGTGATAAAAATCTCAATTTCAGTGGTCAAGTTAATCAGTTGCAGATTGATTTTCCATGCATTTACATTAAGCAGAACTTCTATTTTGTCGGCAGAAAGTTATGAAATTAAATGTATTTCATGTGCTATTTTATAACTAGATGGATAGGTGTGTGATTAATGCTACAGTGGTATAACTGTATTTATATGTAAAATAATGTGAGATTGTGAGGTTCATAACTTATAGAAATAAATTTTTAAAACCATTTCATGTTATCTAGAATATTGAGTAATTGCTTTAAATTTTGTGTTGTATGTCTGCCAGAACTATGCATTGTAATAAATGTGTTTTGGGTTCAACTAAAAAAGTTCACTGTGATGTTTTCAGAATTTCCACCTCCCAAATCCTAATTTAGTCCACGAAGCTTAGCATTAATTTATTTCTACATTTAAATTTTTTGTACTAATTTAAATACATAAATTGGCCAGTTTTATATTATAAGTGCAGTCAATATAGAATATAGATGAATCTATGCGATATCCTGATTGATTTGCAGTAAAAATAGTTTATTGTAAGCCAAAAACATGTTATATGCATTCATCTCATTTAATTCAATGATTCTCATAAGTCAGTAATTCAGTTCATTGTTTATCAGTAGCATTTCAGCATACATTATTATTTATCATGATTAACAATGCATTTGATTTGAGTAGATTGTCATAAGAGAGCAGCTCTCCTGATGAGCATGCATACAGTACCACTGCCAGATTTAGATTTTGTGCCGCTCAAATGTTCCATAAATGTAAAAGATTACACTGCTCCTGATTTATATCATGCAATCTCACAACTTTTGCCTTTTTATCATCTTAATATGTCATTGGGCTATTCATGGGCTAAGCATTGCAACTTATGGTATTGCCAGATATGTTTTGATTCAATCTACTACATAAGCACCCAGTATGCAATTTTTCTAACATATAAGACATCACCAGGAAAGTATTTAGAATTTAAACTTAAATAAGAAAACAGGCTTAATGAGAGAAGGAAAACATACTTTACATATTCCATAAGGTTCTTCTATGTTTACTGCATAAATTATTACTCAACCATAATAAATGCTTTTTTACAAACAAATGCTGAGATTACCAATTTTAGGTTTGTCAAAGAGTTTTTGTGTTCATTAATAACTAGTTGAAGGCAGCTGTTTTTTGTTATCAACTTATGCACATGAGAACTTTTTTAGGGTATTCCATTTTTATAACAGTCTCGGTAAGCTAGAGAAAATGGCATTGGTATAGTTTGGGCTTTAAAAAGTGTGGTTTGTTGCCAGTTATTATGTACAGGCAGGAAAACAGAACTTAAGAAATGGTGACCGCTGAAAAATTTCTAATCTGCGTGTGATGTATGTTTTTCTGCTGATGTGTTGCTTCTTTATATATTAGATTAATTGCTGCTGTATGCATATATTAGATAAATTGCTTCTTGTGTATGTTAAATAAATTGTGCTAGTGCTTAAATTACTTGTGTGTATGAAACAGTTACTAGGATGCTAGAAAACTTAAAAGTTTTTCCTTCTCTCATTAAGCCTGTTTTTCCCTGTCTTGACAAAGCTGCTGTAGAAATGAAATGCTGTTTTATCTAAATGCATATGAGTGGATTTTTTGGGGGGAAGGCATGCTTTAGTGCAGATTGTAGTATTTTTAATTACTACACCAGTGAAGAAGAAATATATGTTATCATGTTTGTCAAGGGTGCAGTTTATATTTTTAATAGACTGAGGAAGAGCTAAAAGAGAAAAATAGAGTTGGAATGTCAGTGATATAAAGACAAATTTAGAATTTGCTTTATTACTTCTTTAAAAATTACCTAAATGTTGTAGGTTGAGTGAAAAATAAAATTCTCATATGTACTGTAAATTCATATTTGGCCTTTTAAAAATAAATAAAGGAAAAGAGCTGCATTTGCAAATTTCTTGGATGGTGCTGTAGTCCCAAATAATATGGATAGTTAGAATTGTTTGGTTCTGTTTATCCTGTTATGCTTAGCTATTAATGGCTTTTTCATTCATAAGAATATGACCAAAAGCAGTGGTATAAGTGTAATAAGTAAAGCATTCAAACAGTAACATATTATAACAAATATTTAGATAAATAAAATTTGATATACTCTTGCAATTAATTTTAGATTGGTGATAAATTGTAATAAAATGAGTAATACATCCAGAATCCATGAGGAAATCAATTAATAAAATGAAACTAAGGTGTAAATGACCACTACAGGGACAAATCCATATAAAAATTTAGGGTAGCTCACTTTATGAAAGCCTCAAGGAAAAGAAAAAAATAAATGAATATTTAAGAAAGTTACAGAACCTTGTGCTAAAAATGTTAGGGGGAGAATATGTGTGTAAATCTGGTAAATCATGTCAGCTTTCAAGCACTGACCAGTCTTTAGATATTACATTTCTTCTGGAAAGTCATGCACCCATCCTTCATTTAAAGCCCAGTTTTTTTCTCGTTAAATAAATTTTTCACTGAATAAAAGAACTCAGTATTATCTATGAAATCCAAATTATTTGCAGTTTGTAAATCTACAGCTTAAATCGTTTGTAGTTGCTGTGTGCGTATGCCATAATAGAATCAGTTTTAAAAAGTAGTTCTAACATTTTACATTTTTATCCCTTCTTTTTTTTTTTTTTTTTTTTTTTGTTTTATTTCTGTTCTTATTGTCTTCTCTGCATAAACAAGAGTATTCTTGAAATTTTTGTTGCCCACCAACTATTTTTAAAATATTGATATATTAGAGTGAAAACTGAGGGTAAGTATATTTCCCCCTCTATAATGTCTATTATTTTTTTATTAGTAAGTTTCATATTTACTAAAACTATGAAAAGTACTTACATAATGAAGTAATATATTTTTATGTGATTAAACTTTATTTTATGAATATTTTGCTTCTTACTTGTTAATTTGTAATTTTTATGCGATTCATCATGCCAAATGTCTGCATCAAATTAACTTATTGTATAACTACTTTCTGTTGTATCTTTTCATTAACCAATACTTAAACCCAAACTGTAAAATTAATGTACTTGTTTAAACTGCATTTTTTTCCAGATCTGAACGAATGTATCGATCTAAGCTTATCTGCATGCAAGCATGGCACATTTTGTGTGAACACCATTGGCTCATATCGCTGTGTTGGTAAGGCTTATTAATATCTTTATTAATCTACTTTGCCATTTTGAGTATGTCAGAAAAATTATTAAGATGGAAATGAATTATTTTAAATTTTATTGTGATGCTATGCATTTAGGAAAATAGTACAAACATACTTCAAGTATACCACTGAAAGTTTATTCTGTGGCAACTCTGTAAACATGTGTTGTAATCGCCAACCGCGCGCCGTTATTACTAACTGTAACCGAAGGTGGTTTTCGGCGACACACAGTCACGTCTCGTCGTCGGTGCGGTTGGTCGCTCGTTTTCCTCCAACGTGATTGTCTATCGACTGTAGTAATTACGTTTTAATATTGTGATGTGATTAAATGTTTTTGTTATCAAAAATTGGCTCTTATGGCATGTTATAAATTCATCCTTAAAAGCACTGGCAAATTCCAATACGCATAGTTTGTTGTTGCACACAGCCACAACCACGTGCAACAATTCTTTTGGGTTCACAGTATTTCATTAGCAACATTAGTTTAATATTATAAGGCTGCATTAAAGTAACTAAATATTTATTATAAAGTACATGTAAGTTAAATTAATATTTGGTGGATGTTCTATTTATTTATGCAGTTGGCTTAAATATTAGATCCTCGAAAGGGTCAGTTATTGCTGGATTGAAATGCAATATTAGTGAAAAATAAACTTTTGGTACACCAAAAAGCATACTTCTTTTGCGTGTCTGTGTTGAAAAATTATAATTTGAAGACTTTTTTTAAAATTCAAATAATATTAAGAAGTGGGTATGTATTTTAGTGAAAGTTGTAGTGAGCTTGATTTAAGAAAAGGTTGGAACTTTGCTTCTTTAATACTGCAATAAACAACTGAATTCTGTGTTTTGTGACCTAAGCAAGACCTAAGAATGTTCAATTAAAATTTTTTCTCTCCCATCTTCATCTCAACATGTTACTTTTTGGAAACAAAGTTAATGCACAGTTGTGATGTTCTTTTAAATTTATAAATTTGTTAATATTATGTACTTGGTTGACTAAAAATTTGCTGGAAGGAATGGTAACACGAAAAAAGGGGGATATTATTCAACATTAGGCCCATAAACCAAATGCAAGGATAAAATTACCTTGAACCTTTGTTTTTAATATATTGTTATAGGTAAGTAGACTCTGTGACATTATATACCAGCAAATATAAGAAGTTAAAATTTGAGGTCTTCCTTAAAGTGTATTCCATACTGATTATTTATTTTACTTAAAATATTATAGCAAACTTCTGTTATTTAGAATTAATTTATTCAAACATAATTTACAAAATATGCATACACTACATTTTTCCATTCTTGAAAACTTTCTTGAAGTTTTTTAAGCTCTATGGAATAAAAATTATTATAAATAAAATAAGGAAAGATGTCCAAGTATTTTATATTAATCGTAATTGCAGTGATGTTTTGATATGAGCATGCTTATAGTTTTATTTTGGCATCTAGAGGTCATTTTTCAACGTTTTTTGTTCTGGTTTCAGCAAAAGCTGTTTTTAATCTGTAGATGCTCTAAATATATTTTATGTTCTTTCTGAAAACCATGCTTGTTTGCTGAAGTGTTGAAACTAGACTATATTGAATGGAGGGAGAGGCCACTTTATTCAAGGGGGAATTATGATTCTTTTACACAAATAAAATTAAATAAGATAATAATAATAATATCTTCCCCCAGCCTACAATGGGGGGGTCACTTAATATTCAAATCAAGTTGTGAAGACTTCATTTACATACATATTAAATTGCAGTGTTAAGTTAGGTGAATGTCTTCCCGGAACATTCTATGATGATAAGTATCCAACTGATTGATTCCCTATACCAGTTAAATTTCCAAATTAACTATTCGTTTCATATCACTGCATTTAAATTTTATACCAAAATATCATTAATAATTTCAGCTCGGCCTCTATATATGAAATTTAAATCGTATCTATGGGACACTAGTAAAGGATCTTATTGGTGAGGCATTTTATGTTTTTCAGAATTAAAAAAATCATTAAAAATTGTATATGGGAAGCCAGTATTTCTTGGAGTATTTCTTGGAAGTGAATCTAAAATATATTCTGCTTTGAAACAATTAATTAAGAAACAATTAATTTAAAGTACTCTTCTGAAGACCTTTTCCCTTCATTTGATCAAAGTAGCAACTTATTAAAGTATCTTTAATTTGTAGCTGTTTGGGTTTTTGTCTGATAATATATCTATTGTATAAGAAATTTAATTAAAAAAAATCAGACATACTGTTGCTAATTGCATTTATTTTTGCATACCTTTCGTGCTATTCAACACAGTAGTAATATTGGTGTGTCTTTTTCACATATTGTCTTTAGAAGCAATGATGTTAAGTTTGAAATTTGTGTATAATCTATCCCTGAGCTTTCAGTAAAACTTCACAATTTCTCATGCTTTGACTACAAGGACATTGATTCAAGGGTACTGATCTGTAGAGGTTAGACAGAAAGCTGTAAGTGATAATCTCTGACAACATAATAAGAGTGTGAAAAGATGATGAAAAAGCAGCTGGGAGAAAAGGTGCAGAGGGTGAGATGGCTAAGATTGCCATACTCGTATTCACTGAGTGAACCCTTGAAAGCATAAACAGTTCCATTAAACTAAGTTGCTTCTCTGTGGATATATCACTATTTGAAAACTTAGTGGCACATTACACTGATAGTAAATATTTGTCAACATAATCTTGCAACAAACTCCTGAAAATTTTTATTTTTTAATTTTTATTCCAAATATTTTGGTTGTTGTGTGCTTTACCATGTAAAATCTGAAAAAATGATATTTCTGCAGTTTTAGTAATGCTTCGTCTTTGAGATTGTTAGAATTGTGGTACTTTTGAAATAAGATAGTAAAATAGTTTCATTTTATTTGTTTTATTCACTTTCTGACTAAGTATATTAGATTTCAAAACCACAAATTAAACTAATTTTTGCATTATAGAATGTGATAAATCCTGCAATGGCTGTACTGGTGATGGCCCTGATATGTGCGAAGCATGTGCAGAAGGATATGTATACCAAGAGCCCCTTTGCATTGGTATGAATTATTGATTTTTATTGATTATTTTTATGTAAACTGCATACTGAATTTTGTATTAATTTCAATTTTATTATGAAGCATTTCAGACTCTATATTTTAAATTCTTTTAAAATTATCCATGTAATAACTTTAAAAATATTCTCATATTGAATAATGCTGTGACATAAAATGATATGCTAAGCCTAGCGAAAAATACTGTTAGCAATCCCATTTCTCTGTCAAAATGACTTAATGTATTAATCAACTACATTCTTTTTGTTATAGCTCAAGTAATAACGTCGATAGTTTTTTTCACCTCTCTAAACATTTTTCCATATTTTTTATTTATAACTTTTAGAGTTGTAATCTTAAAATGAAGAAAAGAGGCAAAATTTGTGGGGGTAAATCATGAAGACTCTCACAAGTTTTGTGGCTAAAGATTTGGTTAAGTTTTGCAAAAATTCATTGCTGTAGAATTATGCTGATACTAAAATAAAAACAAAGATTATTATAATGAATTACTGAGATCAGCAGCAGCTGTCTCAGTTATGAATACTGAAGAAATGGAATGTTGGACTTAGATGATTTTCAAGACATGCCACTGTGGCTTAGTGAATATAAGATTATTGAATACTGTTAGTTTATCGTAGTTTCTCATTTTATTGACTGAATGAGCTAGCTGCTTAAAAGTTTTTATAGTTTTCTACCAATAGCATAAATACAAACCAGTGGCCTTAAAAAGAATTTATGGATACCCATTAAAGCAGCTAGTTCTTTTCTGTAACATGTAATGCAACCTTCCTCGTATCTTATAATTTATTATGTGCAATACTCTATTTCTATGCACATTTTAAATACTTTTTTTTGGCCAAAAGTGATTTCTCCTATGTGTAATGTGAATATAAGCTAGTTTATCTTGGAAAGCACTCCACAAACGCATCCATTTCCTAAGTTGTATAGTTAGTGAATTTTGCCATTATCATATGATCCTATGTCAGAGAAAAAAGATCATCAGAAAATTTAAGGGGGAGTGACATTTGAAAAAGAAGTATTGTAAGCATTCATACTTTCAAAATGCTCTGTATGTTAGTACTGGAATTTTTGATTATTTTTAGAATATAATCAAGAAAATACAAAATAATAATGTAATAGTAAGTGTTAATATATATATATAAGAATTAAATATCACTTTGAATGTTTGATTCCTCAAATCAGATATAATAACAGTATTATAAAAATATATCTTCTAATAATGTACCAGTGCGATGAGTTTGAGTGCAGTTCATTAAGCTTTGGCCATGAAAAATGGTCTAGGCCTTGTTTCCGTAGAAATAGGCAGATATGGCTTTACGAATGGGAAAGGGTTTGAGATAAATCGTTAAAAAGGGCTGAAGCCCGTTTCAGGTCTCTTTTTGCCTCCAGGTTTTCATCTAATCTTCACCATTTACATATCTTCACGTTGTTATTGTGTACCAAGTTTTAAATATTATTCTGTATTTGGCTGAAAATGTCAAAATTTTTATGTATTACATATCATTATGTTATTCAATATATTATTATTGAAACATTTCCTAAACATTTTTATCTTACTTTTAGAAAACAAAGCATGGCAACGATCTGTGCATATAGAAATAGCAAGATATGCAACATATTTAGGACTGTGCATTGCTACTTGCATTATATTTCGTCGTAGTATGTTTTTGGCAAGTATCATTGGCGTATTTGTAGCAGTATACATTGGACTTTCAGAATATACTGTTGGCGAGTGGGATAAGCGCTCTCTTATAAAATCTATTAAATCATTAGCATTTTTATGACTGAAAGCTTTCATTATAATTAGTGTGTGGAATTATTCTCAATTATTATACTGTATGTTTTTTCATGTACAATTTTGTTTATATGACTCTGTGCATTTAATTGTATTGTTATTTAATAAGACTTATATCAGGTCTAAACTAAAAATTTTGCTTTTTTAAATTTAGCATTGCAGTTTTTTTTTTTTTTTTTTTTTTTTTTTTTTTTTTTTTTCTTCTTAAGTATATAGTTTTCTATGATTAACATTTTATTTCTTGTATATATACATACCATTATTAAGTTCAACAGTCAACTAAGTATTGTGATTAGATATGTTCCTGTTATATAATTATGTATTATATTTCAGTAAGAGTAAAGATTGCTGATTTTAATATTGTATGATATTGTTACTAGTACTTGCCAGAAGTTTGATGTCTCGGTTGAAATCAATTTTATGTTTCCCTTTTTCCTAGCTATTTTGAGCTAACTGGATATGTGCAAAATCATATTTATGAATAAAATGTGATAACTGGAAGTAACTTTGTATAATATTAAAAGTAACTGTTAAATATTTTGGACTGAAGTCAGATATATTGAAATATATTTATAATTTCAATTTAATTAAATATCTTTTTATTTGTTTATTTTTAATCTTTTTGTCAAATATGTTTAATTAAATCTTTATTCATTAGTTTACTAATCTATTTTTAAAGGTGATTTAATAAATTTTGTTTTTTCTAATGTACAGAGTGTAAAGAGAGAAATTATCTAATTATGTTTTTATATGATTTTAATTCTGGAAGTTTTTATTTTTCTTGAAACTTCAGATTTGTTTCAGGTATTATATTTCATATAAATCTGTTTCAAGAATAGTTACTGCAGCTTTTATCTTTTGAACTATTAATTCTAGTCTTATTTTTAATTTTTAATTTTTTTTTTTTTTTTTTTTTTTTTTTTTTAATTCTGGGTAGAAATGTATTTTTTCAGTTAAAAGTATGAGAAATAGAAACTTAAAAGTACAAAAATTAACTTCTGTTAGAGCATGTAAGGTCATACAATGTTAATGCCCATGCAGATCTGCATTATCTCATGTGCCTTTTAAAAAATATGAAAGTTCCAACTTCTAAAATTTTAATCACTGGAAAGTTAACAAAACTTGCTATAAAAGTAAGTGCATGTTTTCTAATTTTTACCAACTTTATTATGTAGATTTTAAAAATATTACTCAGTTTGCAGTATTAAAACTGAAAGAGCATTTTAAAATCTGAGTTTTCATATTTTATTTTAAATCATGTGAAGGAACTCATAAATAAGGTGCTACTTGAAGTTTTATATATGTAAGAAAGATATACCATTAAATATATTCAGTCACAAGATTGTTTGATACATATAATCTCTTAATATACTTGTTGCACACTTTTGGATTATTTGGGAAAAAAACAGTGTCGATATGGCCTGCTATTTTGTTGCTCCAAAAGTAAAAGTATTTTCATGTACTGCAGAACACTGAATTTTCAAAAATTGAGATCTGGATTTTCCATTGGCAACAGTGTGAAAGATTTCAAAGTGTCACTGGATATTATTCCATTACAATATTCATGCACTTCATGCATGAAACCTTCAGGTTTATAGTTGAGTTCATATTTCTACAACTGGGTTTTAATCCAAACAGTAGAATTTCTTTGACAAATGCGGCTATTACTAGTAGGCATCTTTTTAATTGGTGAAAGGAACTTTATTGGTTGAAGAGCAGTCAATCCATCGTTGACCAAACTGACTTTTCAGTAATCAAGTTCTATGCATGCTGTCATATTGTATGAAAGATGACAAAGCAAACTGCTGGGATCTATAACTTTATAATGTTATTATTAGATTGGCTGCTTAGATTGATTAATCTTAATGCCATATAGGGTCATCTGCATTGAAACATATTCACTAACCTGTGAAATGATTGATTGAAATTATTGTGTTCTTACACTGTAGCCTAAGGCATGTCATAACTGATATTTTTGCATTTAGATGTACAAATCTAGTGTAAATATTTTGAAAGTTAAAGCTGCAGCTGTATTTTTTAGATCATTTATGAGAAGAGCACATGAACCTTGAATATTTTCCTGGTGATTGTTGCATTTTAGTTTAGAGAGATATTAGAAGTAAGTATTTAAGTAAAAAAAAATTTCACAATTGTATTTGAATATAATACAAGGGTCATAGGGAAAGCAATGCAGAAGTTGGCCATATTAACTGATTTATCTTATTTAAACTCTGCATTTTATCAGAGTGACCTTTTCTCTACCCAATCATATGTAACAATAACGTTCTTCGGTGAAATAAATAATGGATACAATATATAAGCAACATGCCATCATTGAGTTCCTGGCCAAAAAAAAAAAAAAATGTAGTCTTGTCTGATACTTGCATAAGCCTTCAGCATGTTTATAGAGATGACACTATCAACTAAAGCAATATGCATAAATGGTAAAGAAGTTCAAAGACAAGAAAACCAACGTTGAATATAAACCACATTATGGGAGATGATTAAATGCAACTTGGGGGAGCCTAATCTTTAATTAGATGAAGGAATTGGATTTAGTTGGCATCCATGAGTTTTCAGCACAAGTGGACAAGAATTACTATGGGATAAAAAAGATGATAGAAGATTTTGATTATTGTAGAGTGTGTGCCTTGACAGCTGACAACCTGTAAGAAGGAGAAAACGGTCTGCCATTTGCTCTGACCTGTTGAAAGCTATAAAGCTAATAAAGATGAGTTTCTTATTTTCAGTTTTATGGTGGAGGGTGAAATGTAGCATTATAGGAGTTCACCTACTTGGTGTATTGAAGTCTTTTTGATCCTTTTGGCTGGATAAATGCATGTAAAAATTAATTAGTCTAGGTTTCTCATGTTACATCATACACATTTACTTCATATTTTCATAATAGACACTTTGTCATTCACTATGAGTGCACCTACTTCTCACGTTTGCAAATTTTTGTTGGCATTCCACAAGGGTCTTTGTTGGGCCTTATTTTATTCCTTATTTTTGTGAACAATATGCCATAAACACCTAATACTACAGTTGCCTGTTTTGAGTAATCCTTGCAAAAAATGCACCTATCCAGTCACTTCATACATACGTTCATTTATACATATGGAATCCTAGCTTCAGAAGTGGGAAATAAAAATTAATGAGTAAATCAGAAGCAATTCTGTTCACTAGAAGAAAAAAACAACTAAATTATCAAAATATTTGACACTTATCATGAATGCATAGTGAAATACTTAGGTATTATTTTAGATCAGTGACTTGGATAGAAGCCACATATGTTATTTTTGTAAGTTCCAAGCTGCTAAAACTATGCTTACCTCCCTAATTTCCCTAGAACTGTGATTTGTTGATAAGTTTTGCATTTATGAGACTAAGTTGCATTCTATAATTATCTATAAGAGATGATTTATTTGTAAATAAATGTGGAGAACTTAAAACAAAGTAAAACATATGTGTCAAAACTTATAAAAAGATTTTTCGAAAATGCAAGAAAAATGAATGATTCCATTCCAAATCTAGACTATGAGTTTGTTGATCATGCTAATGCTATAAGAACTGAGGATGTTTCTGTGTGTATTAAATTAAGTAATAAATTTTTCATCAATTCTCACAATGCATCTATCAACAAGAGAATATTTTTAGGAATTTCGTCATACCAAATAAAGCAGATCGCTGCTTGGGTGTGGAATCTAATAGATGATGTACCTACCAAAAAACAAAATGTGCATGCACCTTTATGATCCCGAAATGAAGAAACAGTTTAAGAGATGACTTTTTCTTCATTTGCAAGGCCTAAAATGTTCAAGAGCTGAAAATCAGTACAGAAGTTCATAGTGACTGTTTTTTCTTATGAGTCTTGATTCATTATTCTTGATTTTTTGGAGCATGAGCATACTGGGGCCAACAGTTGGTATGTCCAGACACTCGGAGAGCTACCAGGAGCAATTAAAAGTAACAAACAGAAACCTGAACATGATCCATATTCACACTAAAAATGCATCTGGCAAATTTTTTACAACCTATGCGATCAGCAAATTGGATTGCACGTGTGCCTGTCATATATCGTACAAACCAGATCTTGCATCTTCACACTTTTGCTTCTTTGATATAAGGAAGGAAGCTATGATGACAATATTTATTGATATAAACAAAGTGAATTTATCTGTATAAAAAGAGTTTAACAATTTGCACCTGAGTTTTTCTAAATAGCCTTTAAGGAATGTATGTGTTCAGCAGTGTCACAAATACATCACTTACAATGAAAACTATGTTGAGTAGTACTTTTGCATTGAAGAATAATCACACCAACAGCATTTGGAGTTGAATGATTTGTGTCAGTTAATGAAAATGCCTGGCCAACTTTTGCATTATTCTTCATACGGACTCTTGCAGAAATTAAAAAAACAGAGCAGTGATGGACTGCTCAGTCTCTTTCTTAACCTATCTCTTCCCCAAATGCCGTAGTTGCTATTTTTTTTTTAGGGGTGGGGGGTCCTAGCACTATACTACATTTTGTAATGTACTTTAGTTTTAATGTGTTGTTGTTCTAAATTTCACAGAAATGGCCACTCTGAATTAGCTGCAATAGTATATATTTATTTTGTCATTTCAAATACTGTATTTAGAGAATCTCCAATGGTTTGGGGTAACTCATTTATTTTTGAATCTGGCAAAAGAGGAAGATTATTAACTAAACCTACCAGCTGTAATATATTAAATCACTAAGTCAGATTGAACTGGTTCAGATCCTTGCTGCATCATAGTCAATAAATTACTTAGTGCAGTTGCATGACTTTTAACCAGAGCTTCTGCAAATGGCCTTAATATTGCAGGTTCATACCTGAAAGAAAATTCAGTACAATGAGGTGTATATTATTTTGTGAAACTTGCAACATTCTCATGTCTAGACATGTATCTGCAAATGTATTTTAAATCTTTATGTAAATTGCATAAATCTGCAATAATTCATTGTTAAATTAATATTAAACATGCACGCATGGATATAATTATTCATGAAAAATGATAAAAGTTAGCAACAGAACCTGGCATTGCAGGATGTACCTTGTTTTTTGCTGCAGTTTGGATTTACCTCTTTTGTTAAAGAGAAACCATGTTTTAATTAATTGTGTTTTTCTTTAGTG